ACTCAGAAGCCAGCCGGAACTCCGTTCCTGTGCGTTCCTGCCCAAAAATAGCCCTGTCTAGAAGACTTGGGGGTAAAGATTGGGGATCATTCCCAGGGATCATGTTTTGCATGCTGAAGGTCCCAGGTCTGATCCAGAGCCCCTCTCATTACATTTAGGGTTTGTAGCCGGAACTCCTTTGCATATTAGGCGACCCCCCCCCCCCAAATGTAGCCAATCCTCCAAGAGCTTACAGAGCTCTTCTTACAGGGGCTACTGTAAGCTCTTGGAGGATTGGCTACATTGGGGGGGGGTGTCGCCTAATATGCAAAGGAGTTCCTGCTGCAAAAAGACCCCTGGGAAAGACCCTCTTCTGTTGGGGAGCCACTGCCAATAAGAAAAAACAACTCTGAGCTAAAGGGAGCATTGATCAGACTTGGCTATTTATCAATGTTGTGTGTTTGTTTATACCCCACTTTTCTTCCCCAAGAGGGACCCAAAGCAGCCGACATCATCACTCTCTCATCCTCCATTTTATCCTTACAGCAACAGCAACAACCCTGCGAGGCAGGTTAGGCCAAGAGACAGTCCAGTGGAGCCTGAGCGGTGGGTGTTGTCTTCTGCCACGCTTCTGGTGATGTCAGGGGGCGTGGCCTATGCAAATAAGTTATGCTAATGAGCTCCGGCACCTCTTTTTCTACTAAATGACCCTTGCTCTAGCCTCATGTACATGGATCAGAGCACACAGGACCTTTTTTCCTTGTATGGGTTTAAGTAAAAAATAATCTCTCTGCACCATCATATGTGAAGATGCATGAACTTTAAATCCCCAAAAGGCTCTATTCCGCCTTCTCCCATATGGACAGAGGTCCATCAGTGGCTATTAGCCACAAGGTATAGAGGGAACGCTAATTCTGGGGCAGTGAAGCTCTGCATTCTTGGGGCTTTGGGGGGGGAGGCAACAGAGGATGGGCTTCTGGAGTTCTGGCCCCACTGATGGACCTCCTGCTGGCACCTGGGTTTTGGGCACTGTGTGACACAGAGTGCTGGACTGGATGGGCCATTGGCCTATTCCAACATGGCTTCTCTTATGTTCTTATGTCTGGGGCAGTGTTCCTCTGTCTTCTTGGTGCTTTGGGGGGGGGGCAACAATGGGAGGGCTTCTGGAGTTCTGGCCCTGCTGATGGACCTCCTGATGGCACCTGGTATTTTTGGCCACTGTGTGACACAGAGGGCTGGACTAGATGGGCCACTGGCCTGATCCAACATTGGATTCTCTTATGTTCTTATGTCTGGGGCAGTGATGCTCTGCATTCTTGGGGCTTTTGGGGGGGCACAGTGGGAGGGCTTCTGGAGTTCTGGCCCTGCTGGTGGACCTCCTGATGGCACCTGTGTTTTGGCCACTGTGTGACACAGAGTGCTGGACTGGATGAGCCATTGGCCTGACCCAAAATGGCTTCTCTTATGTTCTTATGTCTGGGGCCGTGATGCTCTGTCTTCTTGGTGCTTGGGGGGGCCACAGTGGGAGGGCTTCTGGTGTTCTGGCCCTGCTGATGGACCTCCTGATGGCACCTGGTATTTTTGGCCACTGTGTGACACAGAGTGCTGGACTGGATGGGCCACTGGCCTGATCCAACATTGGCTTCTCTTATGTTCTTGTGAACCTACCCGTCCACTCTGGTCATCTTTGGAGGCCTTGCTTCAGGCGCCCCAGGCATTCGAGGCTAGACAGGTGGCAACCCAATAAAGGGCCTTCTCCGTCATGGCCCCAAAACTTTGGGACTCCCTTCCCAGGAAGATTAATCTGCCTCCCTCTATTGTTGTCTTCAAGCAGCACGTGAAGACTTTTTTCATTCTGTTTGGCCATACTCCCAAGAACCATGAATGGCCTTCTTCCTGGGTTTTTTTAATGTGTGTTGATATGCTTTTATTGGGTCGGTTTTTACTGAAGTGTTGTTTCATTGAATTGTTGTCTTATTATTGAACATGTATATCCTTCATTGTAAATATTTTGAAATGCTTTAATTTTTGATGTTTGCCATCTTGGGGATCCTGTTTGGGCGGAAAGGCGGCATAGTGATGTTTCACGTAAATAAATGATAAAATAAAAGACTGCCAAGGGGGGGGGAGGCTCTGTGTGGAACACTTACACGCAGGGCTATTTTTGGGCAGGAACGCACAGGAACGGAGTTCCGGCTGGCTCCTGAGTTGGCCTCGCCCAGCAGGAACTCATTAGCATAATAGGCCACACCCAACAGCAGGAACTCATTAGGATTGGCTACATTAGGGGTGTGTGGCCTAACATGCAAAGGAGTTCCTGCTACAAAAAAAAGCCCTGGGTTTTGACAACAAACAAGATAAACAGAATAAGAAGCAAAAGGTGGGTGTGGCTGGTTGAGTACACTTCTGGTAACACGGGGGTGTGGCCTCCTATGCTAATGAGCTGTGCTGTCAGGGATGTGGCCTAATATGCTAATACATTTCTGCTGTTGGGTGTGGCCAGTTATGCTAATGAGTTCCTGCTGGGGGTTTTCTACAAAAAAAGCCCTGCTTACATGCAAAATAAGAAGGCTGATTGCAGCGTGGCAATCGTGTTCACCTGTTGTGGCACCAAAACAGAATACTGTGCCCAGGAGCAGACACTGTACTTCTGCTCTCAGATTCTGCAAGCCCAGACTTGGTACTGAATTCAACATCCTGAAGATCATCCTGTTTCAAGGAAGAGCTGCCCGCTCCTCCTTCGTTGCTGGCAAATTAAAGTCATGTTTACAAACCTCAAGTCCAAAAACCGGGTTTCCAAGCCAAAAACAGCCAGTAATCTGAAAAGCCAACTTCTCCTTCATACTGCAGAGTTTTTGCCCAGCCTCCCAAAGCACCTGTCTCACTGTGCTTCCACGGCACAAAAGTAGGTGGCTGCATCTCTATGCTGGACCCCGGTGACGTTCAGGCGACCCGACTTTTCCTCTTTGTTGAGGTCGGCGCTGAAGTTGCGTTCCTTTTTGGGTTCCTTTCCCGTTATCGTGAGCAGATGCAGAGGCCCCTCTCCCGGGAACTGCCGGTACCATTGCAAGCTGTAGAAAGAGCTTGATTCGTACTTGCAGGCGATGGTGGAAGTCTCTCCTTCCCTGGTGACCTCCAGCAGGCTCTGGTTCACCTGGACTTGGCATCTGACCCCTGCATGGAAATGACATGTGGTTAATTCAGAGCCATGTTGAGCAAACGGCCCATCGGGATAGACCTTGGAATGCCCTAGATGAACCCTCCACTAGAACGGAGGCATATCCATGATGTTCCACAGAACTTCGGGCCACTGGGCAAAAAGAGGACCTCTTCGAATGTGAGTCACTCTGCATTGCCAGAAAGGAGAAATGACATGAGAGAGAGAATACCTAATACCTACCACAAACAAATAGTAGCACTGGGAAGACCCACTGGAACATCTTCGTCATGATCCTTGACTTCTTCTGCTGAAGCACCAGGTGTCGATACCAAATGCTCAGCTCAGTAAAGTCACAGTTCACATACATGGTTCCTGGTGCTACACTCAGCCAATCACAAGCAAGAGGGGCGGGAGAGCAAGGAATGAGGAAGATATCTGTACAAATGAACTGTTTGGTCCTCTTTGACTTCCACTCTGCCCCAGACAGAAGTGATCTGCCCAAGGGAGCGGGTGAATTTCTGGTGGAGCTCATCTTTCCATTGTAGGGTTGTCAACTGTGGGCTGGAACGTTCCTGTGAACTTGGGGGTGGAACCTGGGGGGAGGGCGACTTGGGGAAGCAGCCCAAGTTTTTCCCAGGGGAAATGGTCTCTGTAGTCTGGAGTTCAGCTGTAATCCTGGAAGAACTCCAGTTTCCATCTGGAGACTGGAAGCCCCGTGTGAAGCTAGGGCACAGCAACCCACCAGGAAGCTTTCTTGTGAGCTGAATGCCTGGTCTACCCCTGCACCCTTCATCCGAAGAGCCCACAGAGCGCTACGAGTGGCTTCCTGGCCAGGTATAGACTTGAACAAGCATGGACGGCTTCAAGGGAATATGGAGCAGAGGTCCATCAGTGGCTATGAGCCACAAGGTACAGATAGCAACTCTCCATCTGGGGCAAGGAATGCTCTGTATTCTTGGTGCTTGGGGGGGGCAACAGTGGGAAAGCTTCTAGTGTTATGGCCCCACTGGTGGACCTCCTGATAGCACCTGGTGTTTTTGGCACCTGTGTGACAGAGTGTTGGACTGGATGGGCCATTGGCCTGATCCAACACTGCCTTCTCTTATGTTCTTATGAACATGGGTCTCCTCGATTTTAGTTGGTACTCCAACAACTACACCAAACTGGCCCCTCCCTGAGGAGCTTTGAGCACAGAACATCCTTGAGGAGATCATGGACCCCAATTAGACAAGCCCAGATGCCCTCACAAAACTACAATTCCCAGCGTTCATTGTGGGAAAGATCTGATTACTCGAGGACCGATTCTGCAAAAGCGGTTGTTCCGCCCCCGGTCTCCCGTTTGCCCCAGCTGTACTACTCAATTTCCCACTATTTGCTGTGCGGCTGCATTTTGACCCGCATCTCTCCCCAATTTCCCCCACGTCTTCTTAGGGTTGCCAAATATGTCTTCGCCGGGAGCGGGGGGCTCCCGGCCGGCATCGGGGGTGCGCACGCGCGCACGCCACGTGCATGTCACCCGAAAGTGACGTAGGCACGTTGGGCACGCTTGGGGCCGGGCCACGGCCATACAAGGGAAAACCATAGAGTTTTCCCTTGTATGGCCATGGCCCCGCCCCCAGCGTGCCCGGCGTGCCCACATCACTTGCTAGTGACACGCACGCCGGGG